TTTAAAAAAAAAAAAAAAAAAAAAGTAACATGGAACCCAACTTTCAAAATCTAAAATAAAGTGATTATTTGACAATTGTTTCCTCTCTGTTTCACTCTTTCCCTTTTTTTCTGAGTTTTATTTGCCCGGTGAGCCTAGGCAAGTCAGGCATTAGATTATTACATCAAACATGCCTATGTAATATCAAAGCAGGATGACTATTAATGTTAAAGAATAAGAGTACAACGTGAGTCTGTAGCCAACATTAAAAAGGAATAGGGTAATGTAACAATAATTACTGCACAAACCTAGCCCATTATTCAATACTAATACATTTTAATTAAAAAGTCATTTAGTAAGTAATGAGTCATTCACTCATGATATCTAAAGGCAAAGAGAGAGACTCGTGTCTCTGAACAGCTTTCAACGTGAATATTTTAGATCAACTGAGTTTAATCAAACTAAAATGTAGTACCCCCTCCTCAGAGGGAGACTTTTCACATTTGACCCGTATCTGACCATTCATGAAAACAAGCATTTCTTGCATACCTTCTCTGTTTCATTGTCAATACCTTACCTCATCCCTGGCCACCGTCACACTGAGGTGACAGAACCAAGAATAAGTCGCATTAGGAGCTACGTGATTCATCAATGTAGTGCGATAATGTAAATGTATAAAAAGAATGGCTGCATCAGAGGAAATGACTCATTTTCTACTGAAAGTTGGGAAAGAGTACAAGAGGTGGAGACATTTAAACTGGATCTAGCATCACAAAGGTCTGGGTCAGTCTGACTGGGTTTTAGGGAAATCCAATAGTTAAATGGATGCTCTGAGGAATATTGAGACCAAACTTAGAAGAAGCTAGTTTTCTAAGGACATTACCTCTCACGTTTTATCTGTGGTTTTGCTTTCCATAGTTTCAGTTATGTATAATCAACCAGTCTGAAAATCTTAAATGGAAAATTCCAGAAATAAACAATTCATTAGTTTTAAGTGGATGCCTTTCCAATGGTATAATGAAATCTTGTACTATCCCATTTTGACTGGTGAGGACATGAATCATCTCTTTGTTCAGCGTGTCCACACTGTATATGCTGCCTACCAATCTGTCCCTTTGTGGCTATATTGGTTCTCTAACCCATTTCATGGCCTTATGGTGTTTGCATTAAAGTAACCCAAATTTTACTTAATTATGGCCCCAAAACATGAGGGTAGTTGATACTGACAATTCAGATGTGACAAAGAAAAGCCATGAAATACCTTCTTTAAGTGAAAAAGTGAAAGTTCTCAACTCCTTAGGGAAAACTGTTAAAGCTCATACGCTGAGGTCACAATATGTGTCCTTCACCTCCCTTTATCACATGGGCATTGTATCATCTCACATTTTCACAAGGAAAACAAGGGTGAGCACCATACAATATAGTGTTTTGAACGAGAGGAAAAGAGAAAACCACATTCACATAGCTCTTATTGTAGTATAGTGATATAATGCTCTATCTTATTATTAGTTATTGATTTTCATCACGGTGCCTAATTTATAAAATAATCATATGTGTGTATGTATAAGAGAATATATATGAATCATATATATATATATAATCATATATATATATATATCTTAGAATGTATTCCCCACAGATAAGGGTGGAGGGGCTATTGTAAAGTCTTTTGAATTTTATGCAGTATGATGGAAATTGGAAGGAATCAATAATTTGATCAGTCCTTGTTTAGAAAGAGATAATTCTGACTACTTTTTGGAGAATAACTGGACTAGAGAAAGTGAAGTGGAGGATAGAGAAAAGAAGGCTGTTGCTTTGAGACATCTCCCACCATGGAGCCTTCCAGGATGTAGCTTACTGTCTGCGTCCCCTTCGGCCCTCGCATGTAATTTGTTATGTGATTAGCTTACAGCAGCCTTTAGCCAGAGTCTTGGCACCTGCACTTCTGCATGACAGAAACAAAGTTGGAAATAGGGACTTCTTTCTTTACAGAAGTTATGGATTACCATTGCACTGAGGACCCATTGAAATTAATTCTTTAAAATCAAATTTTGTAAAAAGACCTCACTGAGAACTGTTCTTCAACCCAAATCTGTCAGTAAAAGCCATGAATCTGTGAAGCTACTGCAATCTCCTCTTGCGGTCACTTTCCTGCAGGACACAGAGATGAAGGTCTACAAGAAGTGCAACAAGTTGGAAGACTTAGTTTTTGGTTCGGTTTGGTTTGGTTTTCATCTACAAAATTACCCAGGGGTACGTGGGGTCAGGGCTTTGCAGGAATCTAGCATCGTCCCAGGTGGTTCCCTTCGCAACGATCACTGCATCAGTCAAAACTGCTTCCTAATATATCACAGATACAGTCTTGCTCTCGGGAACCACTCACCTAAGCTGGTGTGTACTGCAAGCAGCTGGTTCTTGTCCTTAAGCCTGCAACAAAACACAAGTGGATTTATATTCCTAAGCAGCGGATATCAGTCACTGGCATAGCACCATAAAGACAATGATGCAAGGGACAAAAGTTATTAAACCACGAGCAAGAAAAAGCCTTCCTTTAGCCACATCTCAACTTCCCTCCATACGTCATCAAAGAGTTGCTGGAGATTTTATAAAAGCCCAAGAGTGTTGTTTTCAGGAGATGAGGACAGGAAGGCGCAAGTGAAGAATCGATTGCCCTGGAACATCTCTAAGAAAGAAAACATCTATCTGAAATGAGGGATTTCTCTTTCTCTTGACTCGGTAATCTTCAGAAATATAGCAGGAGGAGATAAAATATTCAATCCAATTGAATCCGAGCCAGAGCCAGGATTCATTTTTATGTTTCTTTCAACTGCCAACAAGTTGTGTAAATTTTAAGATGGAAATGCCTAGCCACTACAGTGACTGGCCACGTTTTATGGGACAGAAACTTCGGATGAACGGAAACATTATTTGAGTAGGTTCCCTTTCCAACAGACAAGACATAACCGGAGCAAATAACCGCAGTGGGCTGGTAGGAATCGGGCCCCCACCCTCGGAGTGTGAGTGCAGGCTGTGAAGGCAGTCACCCCAGCCCCTCCTTCCCACAGCACTGCACTGCTTAGGGCAGACTCGCAAGGCCCACACGTGCTGGCAGCCAAGTGGCAGTGAGACACCTTAGCCTGTCTGGACATCTGCGAGAGGCAGGGAAAGGCAGCTCTATTTCCCTCCCTTCTCTATTACTATCCTCACTTCATGGCCACTCCCTTACACCTAGCCCCAGAGTCGGAGAATCAGAGAGACTTCATTTCAGCTTCGGCTTAGCTGCCGGTAAAGGTGAAAAACGATCTGATTCTTCCTGACTTCATGCTATTCATGCTCGGTGACTTCTGAGCCAAATGCTTCAAAATTGGGAGAAAAGAGAGTAATTTTACCAAAACAGTTGTGATGTAATTGATGCTTCAGATTTTCAGTAAGAAGAATTTGAACAGCAGAACAGGAAAAGAAAGCACCATAAGGTTTTGTATCCTGCAAATTTACAAATAAAAACAGTTCCAGTGCTGTGATTTTCCTTCTAACTTTGTATTAGAAAGTGTATTAAACTCAAATATGACACGACTTTTCCCATATCTGCTCTCTCTTGCCCCTCTACTGCTAATGAGCAATGTCAGCTATAACATTGTTTCTCATCTTCTTGGAGCCACTCTTGAAAACTTCTCGGTTCGGGCCCACATAGAAGACTAGGACAGGACCAGGGATGTAGCTCAGTGTTGTCACACCTGCCTCTAAAAGTGGTCCTCAGTTCGAGCCCCAGGACCCGGAAGAAAAAAAAAAAGACTAAGACTTGGAAACTGTGGACTGGGCCTCTTGGCACTCTGAAAGTTCTGACCATTGTTGCAACTATTTAATTAGGATATGATATATTTATTTTTTAACGTGTGTGGAATGAATGCCTTGCTTCTAGCTTAGAGTCTCATTGCTGTTCTTCTGTCCCACTTGCCACGCCTGGTGCCTTGCTCCTCTAAGAGAGCTCTCCTGTCTTTATGGAAACCTAAACATAAGAGTGGCTGTGATGAGAGGATGAAGAACCCAAACTGGTTCTGCGTGAGGCCCTTGTCCTGGAGCACATGCCTCATTTTCCAGAGTAGAAGCCACAGTTCTTACAATGACCCGCAGACACTACAGAGTCTGTGCCTCTGTTCACACCTCTCCTCTCCCCTGATCCATCTCCCCCACTCGGTCTCCTTCAGCCACCGGTCTCCTGCTCCTCTTTCACACCCCCAGCTCTCGCTCCAACTGATCCCTAGAAACTTCTTCCATCAGAGAGCTGCTGGTTTACTCCTTTAGCAACCTCAGGTCTTCTCAGAGAAGTCACTGTTTTAATTATTTTTCTTTCACTGCTAAGGCAAAATACCAACACCCAAAATTAAAGGGGGAGAGGTTTATTTGGTTTACAGTTCATAAAGGTTTCAGTCCATAATCAAACGGCCCCAAGGCAGAGTGGCAGAGAGATAATAGTTCAGGGCAGCGGAAGACAGCAGAAGCAACAAGGGACCTTCACAGCATCTTTCTGTCCCTTTCATCTTATTCAGACTACTTAGGGCAGGTAGCACTCACACACTTAGCCCTAGTGCCTTCCAGCGTGGCCCCAACATGAATCAATCACACACTCTAGATTCAGCCACCTCTGAAACAGCACGAGGCTTTGTGGTGGGGGGCATCTAAACACAGGCCATAACATCCACCCTGGATCTCCTTTTGGAGAGTGGAAACCTTCCAGCTATTCCCAGAACCTTTCCTCTTTCATCATTCTCCACAGTACTCATTTCCCAGTGCTCAGCGAAATGTTCCTGCTCATTGTATCATCTGCTTCTCTCCACTAGAAGCAGCAGATGGGATGGATCTTTCACTCTGGTCATGTTTCTATCCTCAGAACCTAGAAAATTACCTAGCACATAGAAAGCACTCAGTAACTACTCAGTGAACAGCTTTACTTCATTTTACAAGTGTAGAGTGATTTCTGTGTTGGACACTGTTTTAAGCACTGTGAAAATATTGATTTATCTAGCAGCAGCCCTATTAAGAAGGGATTTTTTTCATCCCTGCTTTATTGAAAAGGAACCCGAGGCACAGAGAATAAGTGAAATTGTACCCACCTTGTAAGTGGCACAGCCCCATCGTGCTTCTAACCCCAGGGTTCTGCTAAATGTGGAACACATTTTCTGCATTTTGTCCTAAGAATCCTTTTGTGACTAAATTCATGATCCCTGTGCTTGACAGTAACCCAGGAAGTCATTGCACTGCCCTTCTTCCGCTTCCCAGACACTGAGGGTATCCAGGGGCCAATATCGGGGAGACAAGAAGCAAGTAAGCTCATATACAGGGGCAGGTTTCTGTGGAGGTGTGGAAAGAATCAGAATAGAAAGTGCACACATTCAGGACAAAAACAATGGCGAAGACAGGGCTGTGGAAATGGGTCTCACCCCCTTGGATTCACTGTGGACTCTGGTCCAGTTTGTCACGCTCCTCCTAGGCCAGGGACATCACAGAGCACAGGAACATTGGAGCTACCAGTGGCTCAGACCAATACATATTTGCATTCTAATTTAGGCAGCTAGCTCTAGCTTATTGGAATCATATGCTCGGTGTTTGGGAAATATTTAAGATGATTGAAAGGTGGTAGTTAGAATTTGGAAGGAGATATATCCCTTACCAGTTTTCCATTGAGTTAACACTTAGGAAATATTTGCTAACAAACTGTTGCCAAATAAAGATCCTGCTGGGTTTTCTTTAATTAATGAGATAGCTTGGTTGTAATTATTCCATTAATTGTTTAAATGAAAATAAGTGCTATTAAGAATCTTTAAAAGTGTTTCCTTCTAAATATGCTAAACTTTCCCTCTTGGCATCTCCTATCAATTCTTACTTTGCTAGTGTCATGGTTTGTGTGAAGATGCCCCCTCAAAGCTTCATGTGATCATAGGTGGGGCTTTTTCAGAGGTAGCTAAATCTAGAGTGTGTGATTGACTCATGGTGCAATGCTAGGATTAAGGGTGGGGTGATTACTAAATCAGTCCAGTGATTGGTTTAGCATTGCCCTAATCCCAGTACCCTGGATACCATAAAGGGAACAGAAAGAGGCTTGTCTTGTCCTTGCTTGCTTGCTTGCTTGTTTTGCTACCTTCTGCCTATCATGAACTGTTTCCCTTCTATAATGCCTGTCTGCCATGCCACACTGTCTCAGAGCCAGCCAGTTACGGACTGAAACCTCTACAATCTGTGAGCTAAACAAACATTTTCCCTTTTAACTTTGGGTGTTAGGTATTTTGTCTCAGCAATAAAAGAAAATAACTAAGACACCTAGTAAATCCTCTTTTAATAAATGATACAAAAATAAGCTGTGCTCAAACTCTAGCCACAATGCTCACAAATTCTGCATGGGTACAATCTTAATAGAATAGTGCTGTGCTCTAGAAGATAAGATTCCAATGAAACCATATTTACTGTGCAAATAAGCAGAGTAAAATAAAGAAATAAAAACTGAAATTTTCAACACTGTAAGTAATTCATTCTCACTGATGATATACAGTCTTGGGTATATGAAGCTAATCTGCAAACACCATGCTTGACCAACTCTTAGACACTCTTTACCATGGGAAGAAAACTCCTTGCTTTAACATCTCTTTACTTCCTGCCTGCTGAGACAAGGGCTGGGAGGTGGGAGAGGCGGGAAGCTCTCACCCACCCCACATCTGCATAGTCACCTCCAGCCTCTGCCAGAGCAAGACTCCACTTTTAGGAGGTCTGAGGGCGTTTCTTCCCCAGATGAGGGAGGCTTCTTGGACCAGCCAGGAAGGGGAGCAGCATGAAGGGACGAAAGTGGGTGAGGAGGTGAGACTTACTTCCTTTTCAGCCAGGGAAAGTTCTTAGAGCCCTCCTGTTTCCAGCGGAGAATCCACCCCGTGGGCTCCTTGTTCTTTTTGCCTTGAGCCCACCCATCCCCAGTCACTCTAGCCGTGCTGCAGATTCACTTCCGGGGCACTGTGCTCTAGAACTTCTTTTGTATAGATTTTACAAAAGGTCAATCTGACACTGCGGTATCATTTTGCATCTATGCAGGCATCCCAGGCTCCTCAGGAAATGGTACAACGTGTACTTGCTCTCTCCAGTGCATTCTTTTCGGGGGCAGATCCCTATTTCTAATAGTTATTTTTGCCCAGGACCTACCTCTTGTTAATGTTCTATTACATTGGTCCATATGTGGATTTTTACTTCTGTGGCTTTGATCACTACCCGTGTACACGATGTCAAAACTGTGAATCAGTCCTCTCAGATATCCTTATACTACCACCATGGTCTCCAAATAAAGTGTCATGTTGCTGGGTAGGAAAAAGTAGGCAACCAAATAAAAGAGCAAGAGAGCAGAACAGAGATTTGTGTTACTATGCCAGATCAGCTCCCTCCTGCACTAAGTGATTTTCCAAATCAGTCCCGATGATGACAATTCATCTGATGGATGGAGGCCATCCCTCAGCAGGGGCTGTCTGGCAGGTGTGTATAATAGGTGTGAGCAGGCAGTGCTGTATTAATTAATATATATTGATGATGCGAGATTTGGCAGTCATAACATTCCAAATACTATTACAGGCTAAAGAGAATGATGGCTTCTGTACAATAAAAGTCATCTCTGCCTAAAGTAAAAGCTAGATATAGCAAGATCAGGCATTTTCTCTCCAACAAAAAAACTTCAGAAAAACAAAGAGAATCAGGCAGTGGCTTGGTGGATATTACAACAAAGAACTGGACTGTGATAGAAACAGGAAGTACCCCATATATTCCTTGGATTCAGCTGTCAAGATAAGTCACCATTTAAATAAATTGGTAAATATTTGCCATGTGCTGTGCTTTAAGCTTAAGAATAACAAATATTGTCATTCTGAAACGCCTAGATATTTCTCAGGTAATTTGTTTTTATCACCGTTTTAGTTTTTCTTTAGCCAGTGGTTATAAATGACATATTTGTGCTTAAAAAATTGTTTAATGGTTCAAATGAGCAGTGGGCAAAATTATTCAATAAATTGGTTCACAATCATCTATGGACAGCTCTTTCATCTTATTCAGTTTAAGAGTATATTTGAATTATAGCATGATTGGTCTTGAAAAATTTTAATGGGTGACTGGCAAGAATTAGAATTATAAATAAATATCAGAAACAATGACAGATTTCATAAAGGAAAGACTGAAGATTCACATAGTTACTGACATTGAAACTGTTATTATAAATTATACTGCATGTACTTGAAGTTTCTCTGTAATCTAGATGCTCAAGATGGCAGAAAACTTCGAATTTAATTTAGAAAATGTTAATGGAATATTGTTATAATGCCATTAATGTACATACTTAAGGGACAATTAATTTTTATGTCTGTCAAAGATTACACTAAGAGCTAATGTTAACTTTCTGTTTATAGTATGTTCTATTAAGAAGATCTGCTAAATATCTTCACTCTTGAGGTTTTGTTGCTTCTGTTTTTCTGCATGAGACTAGTTGATAAAATCCCAGCGTCAAGCTCTGAAAGCTTTTGTTCAGGTGAGCATATAGGTGCACCTGCAGTATGAACACAGAGTTGTGGATTCTTCTCATAGCTCTAAAACCCACCAAAAGTTATATTCCTTGGAGTACATTAAGACCAATAGTGCACACTACAGTAATGGAGAAAATTTAAAATCTAAGTAATAAAATGCACTTCGGTGCTTACAGTCATGGATAGGGGAGGAGAAAGGCAGGGGCGGGCTTTGAATCAAAATGACACCTGTTTAACAAGGAGGTATTGTAGGTAAAAGGAGGTATCTACACAGGTGGCCCAGGGAATCACATAGTGTTCCCCTTCCCTCAGAAGAAGATGAAGGTCTGAAGTCAAGCTTAGCATATAGAGAAGAAGCAAGACAGTACCTGGTTCCTGCCTCATTCCTATACAGCCTGGCCTATCGCTTTTTCTCCCCTCCCAATGTTTATTTCTTGTAGGCTATGCCTACCATTTTTACACCCTACCAATGGCACGTACATCCCCACTAGTAGCCCAGTTGTTGGGTTTCTTCAGTCCCAGCCTCTCCAGCAACTCAGACGTTGGCCTACCCATGACTGAGCAAATGAAGCACACGAGCTGCTTCTGCTTAGCCCTCAGGAGCCACCTGGGCTCCACCCTGAATTTCCATTTCCCTCAACACACAAGATGTTCCTGGATTATGCCTAAAACATGCTCAAGTAAAAAGAATGAACTGTCCTTTGCTTTTCTTTCCCCGGTCTTTCTTAAGCATAGTAGAACAACCATTGGTGAACAACTCTATCATTTTAGTAAAAAAGTAAAAAGGACAATCATCTGGGAACTGCAAATGAAAATAAAATTGGCCAGTGGTATAAATCATTGGAGAGAAATTTGGTAATTAGTGCCCTAAAGCTTAGGTTAATCGGAACAATCCCAGACTGATACCAAGACATCTGGTAGTAGGAAGCCATTTGCCCTTTCATTACAATTAGTGTCAATAAAGCTAAATAAGAAGGTTAGCAAAAAAATCATAGGCCATTAACTTACTCCAGCTTTTCAACATCTAAATAGCTCCTTTTCAGAATTGTAACAGATTAATAAAATAGTATATTAATTGAATTTTGCTGATCTTGAAGCTCTGAATGGAAAGAAACTTGAATGTTCAGTGCAGGCCTGCCCTCAGTAGAGGGGTTGCAGTGATGATAAGTAGATCTCAACACACCACCAGTGGGCAGCACTGAGGACACACTGTTGGGAGTTTTTGGTATGTGCACCTGTCACCACCATTAGCTCATAAACTCCTCAAGATGGTAGAACACATCTTTGTCTTCACATTCTTCATATTTACAATATTCAGCATATATTGGTGTCTTAGTTACTTTTCTCAATGCTGAGACAAAATACCTGGCACCAAAAGGTAGAGGAGGAAAGCTTTATTTGGCTCACAGTTTAGAGTTCAGTAGTTGACTGGCTCCAAGGCAGGGTGGCATGTTAAGGGGCATCATGGAGGAAAAATAGTACATGGCAGGCAGAAGGCAGCAAGGCAGCAAACAACATGCAACTCTCTTTCCGTCCCTTATATCCTACCCTTAGGGTGGGTAATATTCACACTGAAAGTGGGGCAGCCTTAATCCTACTATTGCACCATGAATCAACACCTGTATGATATCCTGGATCCCAGCATCATACACCCTAGAACCAGCCCCCTCTGAAAAGCCCCACCTAGGAGTTTAGGGGGATATCTAGATACAAGCCATAACAATTGGTAAAGTGAGTCCATGAGAAGCAGAACATCCATAAATAAAAAAAAAAGCTAACAGAGCAGTTAATTCTGCTAAACCACATAATTCCTTTAGCAGAAGAGCAAAAGGCAATTTTCTGGAACTCAACGGATCTTCCACTATAAGAGCAAGTGCTGTTGTCCAGGAATGAGCTTTTCTAAGGACAGAGTCTAGACTCCTGAGGAATAAAAATATTTTCCACAGCATGCTCAGCCTTGACCTTATTTTCAGCCTCTCAGCAGCACAGAATCCATCTTGACACTTGCCTTTTTACAGGTGTCCACCTCAGCCCACAAGACAGATGTCACCAACAGAAGACAAGATTTGTTTTATAGGAAGAGATTGGCTCATGTATTTGGTTTCTAAAGACTAGAAATGTTTTTTTAATACATTGTTTGCCTAAGACATTTTATTTATATTTTTATTAAGTATTTTAAATTTTATAAATGAAAAATACCCAGTTACCTTGCATGTTTTCTTATAAAACTAAAAAACTGAAGGTTTGTAGTTCAGTGGTAGACTGCTTGCCTAGGAAGCACAAGGCCCTGGGTTCAATCCCCAAGATTGGAAGAGGGAGCATAGAAGAATGGCCTAATTATATTTCTAGTAGTAGTGTTTAAAATTGTCAATCATATAATTTGGGGGCAAGCTTATGTAGTTCTTAAGAGAAAGAAAGCACAGATAGATAAGTTAATGAGAAATAGATCAGTTATTTGAATCAAATGAAAACTTGATTTGATCGCATTTATTTTGAAGACACTTTTGGTGTTTCCATTTTAATCTGATTCAGGGCTTCCCATTTTAATTCTAAATTGAAGTGGTTATTTTGTAATTAATTCATTAAATCCTAAGAAAATCCACTGCCTGGGTTCAGTTCAGAAACCCATATTCAATTTCTCGAGCACGGAGTTCATGATTCAGAGGTTTTGTTCCAATCTTTGCTGTATATCCATGTGGCTATATGCATACACCTACATGTAAACCTCAAACCCATTAAATCACAATTAGGTGGGAAAGGACGGACAACCAAAAAGGACTCAGTGAGAATGTTTTCTTTTCACAATGGAGGGAGCAGAAGTGGATCTCCACTGCCTGTGCTGAAAACTAGGCTCTTCCACAAAGGGAACCCTGCAGATCAGTCTCAGGGATAGACCCTTCCTGGGATGGGGAGGGAAAGGCCTGTGACGCATTAGCCCTGACGCAGACACAGCTTTTAGACATGAAGCGTGTTCATATAAAGGACTGTGCAGGTGGGGACCTCATACTAACCAGGCACAATGGTACCTGACAGCTGTCAACCCACTCCTAAATGTCTAGAGTCACTACAAGAGGGGGGCAAAAGTCCTCATCACAGCATCACCACTGATAACTGGGATTCACAGGGCCACTCTATGCTGAACTGCCGGGGGGAAACCAGTGTGTTCGTCAGCTTTCCATCACGGTGACAAAACACCTGATGAAATCAACTTTATAGGGGCGAAAGATTTATTTTTGGTCTTCCATCACTGTGAGGCTGAAGTGAGGCATTTCATCCTGGCAGCTAGAGTGGAACATAGCTGAGGACAGGGGAGGGGTGTTGGCAGTATTCCTCTTTCCGCAACTTTTGTTCCATCTGGGCAACTGTGTGATGAGGCCCACAGTCAGGGCCAGTCTCCCCCTCATGTTGCTGTCCCACATGTCAGTTGTCTGGAAACACAGACATACTTAGTATGCTTTACTAAATTACTAAATTTCTAGGTGTTTTTCAATCCAATCAAGTTGACAATCAAGATAAACCATCACAATCAGAAATACCCTGCTGTTCAATGTCCACCCCAGGAAGGGGGACGCCTCTTTCCTGCTCCTGACCCCTGTGGCCTAGCCTGTGACCCAAGCCTCCCTGTGTAACAAGTATACATCAGTCATTTAGAATGGGCTATTTTTAAGCTTTTACCTTCCATGTGCTCTTCTGAAGAACCTCTGCGATAAACTGACGTCTCAGTCACTCTTGTGAGACCCAGTACCCAACACCAGCAGCTTAAAGAAGGAGAGGTTTATTCAGCTGATGGTTTTTGGAGATTTAAGTCCATGTTTGGCTGGCTCCGTGACAGGAAGGCATGGTGGAAGAGTCTGGGCAGAAGAAAGCTGCTCACTTCACGGCCGTCACAAAGTGGAGAGGAAAGGAAGGAACTGGAGAGAGGCACATCCCCTTCCGGGTCACGCCCCCGGGACCCACCTCTTCTGACCAGGCCCCACCTCCTAATGGCCCTGTCAGCTGTTGCACCCTCATGATCTTCCTGTCACCGTTCAAACACGAGAGGCTTTGAAGGAACACCCTTGATCTAAACAGTAACAATGGGCGGTGTCACCGGTATGCTTAAAATGATGGTTTTCAGATTTACATTTTAGCAAGTGTGAAAAAACTTAGCAGGATAAATTATGTGCTGAGAACCCTCAAGAATCAACTAACCAGAGTGAAGACCTACAGAGGATTTGTTGCCCAAACAAACTCACCTAGCAGAGCCTTCTCGGCCTTCCAGCCACAAATGCTGGCCCCAGGTGTACTCTTTTGAAACTCTTTGTCATTAGTTCCCAAAACAGGAAGCATCGGTGCCCTTTTACACCACATTCTGTTTCTCCCTATCCCCACCTCATCCCCACTTCTGTGTCCTATCCTCTTCTTAAAGTTCTGTCTGACTCTCACCAGCCCCGCCATGCAAGCATGATTCTAAAGGTATTCGTGAGTCTTCCACACTGGGTGGGATTAGCCCCTTTGGTGAAAATATTCATTCTTTCAAATTTCCTTCCAATATACTTATAGTTAATGTATCTTCCAAAAAACAAGGAGAAATTTTAAAATTAAATTGATGGTGGCATAGGATATCCCAGAGGTAGTGGTTCATAGCATGTTTTTAGCATAGTTTTCCGTTCTCTCAAAGAAAATAAATTTGAAAAGATAGTTTACTTTTGGATATCCACCTTCTCGTCTAAGTGACAAGGCATTTCTAGATCCGAATTTCATTTCCAGGATATCTATTAGAGTGGTAGATTGCCAAATTACAAAAAAAATTGTAACTGCAACCCATCTGATCGATGCCTTTCTTTGCACGATTATGTGAGGAGGTATGCTGGCCTGTTCAATCTATGCTCCTTTAGATATATGCATACACACAGAAAGAAGCAAAAGTAGTCAGAGATTGATGGTGTTGATATTTGGGATGAAGCATGGTTCCAATTTCGTGTGTCTAATTAGCCACAGCTCTTCAAGAATTGGTGCACACGTCACAGGGTTTCTAATGTTGGCATTTCATTTACACAAAAATGCTATTTGATGGCACAAGATTATAAAAACTAATAGTCACAGCAGACAGCTTGTAGCTTAGACAAAGGTCACTGGTTTTAAAGAATTGTGCTGTTAATTAGTGAACAAACAACTAGAACATGTGCTTTTACACATCATCAATTTGTTCCCGCCCAAAAAATCAATCACTTTTTACTTAAAACCACTTTAAGTGACTACAAAAAAATAATAATAATAACTACAAGGATAGAGTTAGGTTCCAAATAATGTATCCAAGCCAAAGCCATCAGTGAAATAGTGTCACAGTTCTCCGATGTGACACACAAAGAGGTTTCTTTAACAACTGGAAAGGAAGATTAAATAACACTACCTGAGTGGTCCCAAGAGCTTCTTAGATAGAATTCAAGATGAGCGATGCCGCTGTTTCCTAGGTTTCTTCGTGTCTGTATGCATTTCCCTGGTCTCAGCGAGCACCAAGTAACAGGAGGCCGCTTGCTTTACTTCAGATACAGCAGCAAAGAAGAACCAACTCTCAGCGAAATCATTTCAGCTGAACAAAACAGATGTTCACCTCATTTGAAAATAAAGTGCAGCCTCCTCTGAAGGGCGATCTAGAGAGCCTTCTCGGCTCTTATTGCCACTAACCCACCACCAGTGAGACCAGATACAGCATCTGGGCTTGGAGAAGAACGCCTTCCCTCCCATGAGTCAATTCCTTTGCCGAGATTGCTGGCAAGGATTTATTTTTCATTGAAAATTTTATTGAGGGGCCGGGGATTTAGCTCAGTGGTTCCGACACCTGCCTCGCAAGTGCAAGGGCCTGACTTCAATCCCGGCTACCAAAAAAAAAAAAAGAATTTTATTGAGATAGTTTTTAAAATTCTCATGCAATTTTAAGAAATGATACACTGATACCCTGTGTACATTTTCCCCACATGTAACATTTTATAAATCTTTAGTACACTGTCACAACCAGGATGATGCTATCCATACAATTCATAGGTCTTTTCAGCTATCTCTCATTTTACTTGTACGTATTTGTATACGCATTTAGCTCCGTACAATTTTACCACATGTGCAGACCTGTGCACTTAACAGGACAGTTGAGACACAGAACAGTTTCATCGCCTCAGGGCTCTCTTCAGCCGTCCTATCTATCACCACACTCACATCCTCCCTCATGTTTTTCCACCTACCTCTCCCCACACAGGCCCAAAGCTTAGCCACCGCTGATCTGTGCTCCATTTCTAAATATTTTTCATTTCAAAAATGTAAAATAAGCGGAGTAATATGGTACATAACCTTTTAGATTGGCTTTTTTTTTTCACTCACCATAATTCCCTAGTGATTTCTCCAAGTCGCTGCATCAATAGTTCTTCCATTTTTATTGTTGAATAGTGTTTCGTGGGAGAGAGAAGACGGCTTGTTTAACCGTCCTCATGGTAAAAGACACCTGAGCTGTTGTGATGTTTGGTCTTTGTGAATAAATCCGCTACAAATATTCACACATAGGTTTTTGCATAATCATAAGCTTTCATTTCTCTACAATGAGTGCCCAAGAGTTCAAAGGCTGTTATGCAGTAACTGTTAAGTTTTACAAAAAAATATAAAATCATGTTTTCTAGATGGATTGCACTCTTTCACATTCCCACCATGGATGTGCAAGTCCCCAGCATATGCTGTTGTTGCTCTTTTTGGTCACCTTTTTATTTTAACCCTCCTGATGTCAGTGTAGTGCTATCACACGGTGCTTTTCACTTGCATTCTCCTGACAACCGATGATGTCAAATGCCTTTCCATGTGACTATTTGCCATCAGTACTTCCTCTCTGATGTGTATCCTCTACTGTGATGATCCTACTCATACATTTTGCCAATTTTGTAAACAAATTTTTCCACTGTTGAATTTTAAGATTTCTTTATATACGCTATATACTAATCCTTTGTCAGATATGTGGTTTGCAAATATTTTCTCCTGGCCTATAATCTGTCTTTTTATCCTCTTTATGTAAGCTTGCATAGACCAAAACTTTTAATTTTTATGGAGCAAATGTATCAATTTTGTCTTATTATTTGTGCTTTTGGTGTCAAGTCTAAGAGCTCTTTTGCTTAACCAAGTCCCCAAAATCTTCCCTAGTACTCTTTACTAAAAGTTTTATTGCCACAAACCTTTAAATTTGATTTCTGTGCACAGTGTGAGGTCTGGATTGGTTTTTAGGACTTCTTCAGGAGTGGGCTTGAGTGTTCTCCAGCACTGATTATTGAAAGGCTATTCTTTCTCCATTGAATTATAACACATTTAAAAGATGAAACGCAGAAAGTATTTTCTCCTTTTCTATTTTCTGGAAGAATCATATGAAATTGAACTATTTTTTTTTCTTAAATATTTGGCTGATTATAGCAGTGAAACCATTTGGCCTGGACATTTCCTTTTCCTTCCTAATTACAAATTCAATTTCTTTAAAGGTTATAGTACTATCCAGATTATTTCTTCTCTGTTGAGTTTTCATGAATTTGATACTTTTCTTCTGATTTGTCAAATTTATTTATTCATGTGATTCTCATATTTTTAATAACTGCAGTGCCTATGAAATTTAACTTGCCTCACTGCAGCATGGAAATAATGCAGAGGTGAGGACATACTTTTCTTAAAAACAATGGGCATACATCTATTGCCATCATCTGTTTTCATGAAAAAGAAAAATCCTTGCACAGTGGTACCTGGAGTTTTAGGCCACATTTCAGTTTTTTCTGGGTATCTCTTATTGCATGACCTCTCACAAATACAGTGCCAAACTTCCTGGCTTAAATCAGAGTTAATGGCAAGGATATGCAAAGAATGGACCTGCATTTAAACACAGTCTGGGTGCCGGCAGGATCACTTGGGCATTTTAGGCCTCGCAGCATGGCTTCTACATGTGAAAGGAGGTTCTGGATTTAAAACAGGTGGTCAGATGGTTTTGACACCTTAATAAATGAATAGATTCAACAGATATATATTCAGAGCTCAAACCAAACAAAACCTTCAGATCATCAATGAATAAGTATGTTAATGATAGTTTGGTTATTGGTGCATAAAGCCATCTTCAGGATGTATCCTGTGAGTAGTTCTGAACCACTGTGAGTAAGCAATGATAAGGTGGGAGATTTATTTCCCATCATGAGAAGAATCTGTGGATTACTTTGTGCTAAATAACAGAAGGTTAGAGTGATTCATCTCTACTGGGCTTTTCCAAGCTGCAGCATGTCTTTACGCACTCTCACTACAGAAACAGACATTTGTCTGTAACTTGCAACATAAAATGCCATTGTGACAAATATGGTGACAGTTTTTCTTGGGCATGGGGTGAAAGAATGGGGGATGGACCAAAACCTTTGCTTTCCATAATTCTTGATATTTCTGTGGCATTTGGAGTTTACTAAATACCTTGCATTGTTTTTACAGTGGAGCTATTATAATGAAAAACCAATGAAAAAACACTGTTCCACATTATAAATGCTGAGTCAATCCTTGTTTAAAAGTGAGAAAGGAAATTCTAAAAGGAAAGCATTTTTTAATAGACTCAGTACCAGTCCCTATAGGGACAAGAGACTGCCAATCTTGTGCAAGATACTTCCTTTTTACAAATTCCATCTGGTTTGTCCTCCTATGTCTAGCTGTCTAATGAGCCACTTTAGCTGGCCTTTTCCCAGGGTTCACTCACAACTCTTCCTAAATAATCTCAAAGTAATTTTGCTGGCACAGGTGCTGTTTTCCAGGCAGCTGTTGCCAAAGGGCAGCATAGTAATTAGCAAGCTTAGAATCTAGAGGATTCAGGGTCTCATTTCTGGCCATGGATATGTTGTGTCACACACAGGGTAGTGCTTTTAAAACTCACTGTTTTATGAGGAGATCTTGACACTGTAACAAAGGAGCTCAGTATGCTTCTCAGTGTTTATTTCTTTTTGTGTGAAAATAGCTCTTAAAGGATTAGATATTTGTCAGGCCTTGCAGCAAAATGAAAGCTCTGTTCTCTTTAGAACTTGGCCATTGTGTTCCAAATCTACTCTTTCAACTCAGATATTTCACCTGAAACCAAGCAGCTGAAATCAGCTACCCTTTATAATTTAGAGTAGACAGAACCATTATTCATCCTTGTGCATTTAGGATTGAGACTCATTCTAAAATGTGTAATATTAGTGGCTTGAAGATTAATCAGATTCTACAATAGGAAATGCAGGCAACAGGGGGTTTTGGTATTCTTCAGGTTTTGTTTGTTAAGAGATGTTCTGAACTTTAGACATTAACAACTACATATTTTAGACAGCATGACTAAATCCTCAGATGTAATAACAGAGCTCCTACCTGTGGTTTTCTTCGTGCTTCTCTCTGACACGTCTTATCTGATATTTTAGGAGTTCGTGATGATTGTCGTCTTTGGTCTGGAGTTCATCGTTCGAATCTGGTCAGCAGGTTGCTGCTGTCGGTATAGAGGATGGCAAGGAAGACTGAGGTTCGCCCGAAAGCCCTTCTGTGTTATAGGTGAATATTGAAGTCCTAGCTCCCTGCATTTGTGACCCTGCATCCTTTTCTTCTGTTTCCTGCATTGCAACACTTGATTAAGTGTGAATATCCTCAGATGACTCATTCAGTCTTCACCTCCTCACCTTTACAGTGCAGATATTTTTATTGTCTTCACGTTACAAGTGAAGAAACAGAGGCAAAAAGAGGCAAAGTAAATTGTGGAAAGGCATACAGATATTAAGCAGTAGAGCTGGGATTGGAGCCAAAGGATGTTGCCTTGAATATGACGACTTACACTTGGATAACTATAAAAAACATTAGCTGTACATGATAACATCAGGCTCTGCTCTCCGTCGGATGTTACGGAAGCCAGTGTATTATTTCTGGTAATTCGTATCAATTAGCGTGCTTCAAGGATGAAGGCAAATATGGTTTTCTCCATGCATTGGTAATCTTAGACTTGGCAAAGTGTTTTACACTCTGAAGTAAGATTCCCATCACCACACAATCCCCAGGGTAGCACGTCTCAGTGCCTCCCTATCTGCTGTGGTTCCACGGGGCTTCCATTCCACTTGATTACACCTTAAAATCATACTACTCAGTGAATGTGCCATGGAGCATTCTAGAGTTAAAAACCTGCCCCCTAATATATTTAAAAGCATATCCAAAACATGGAAAATTTCATAGATTAAAGCTGTCACTATTGTTGTGATTAGATGGCTCCACTTTGTTTTTGTGCTCCTTGGTCTTTTTTCCGTGTTAGGCAGCTGTTCGAACCTAAATCTTGGTTGCCCTCCATGAAGCTTACTTACTGCGCCTGTGAGCAAGTCAGTTTTTAATTTACAAAGTAGTTTCAACTGTGTATCCGCGACAGGTCTGCCTCTTGGTTTGAGGAGTCAGGATTGTGGAGTAAATCCCTGGTTGGCTCTGTTGCACATGTTCCCCATGGTGGGAGCAGAGCAGGTGCAGGGTGGAGAGTGCCTCTCCATCTGTGGACAGCAATAGGAAGGCCCCTTTGTTCCATGCTGCTTTTGTGGTGTGTGTATTTCACGAGAATTCAACCAGCATTGACAGAAGCTTAGAGTTACAGTGGTGAAAATAGTGAAATTCTAGGTTAAATCCATCTTTAAATACCTGTTTGGCTTCACTAATGTAACCTGTTTACCCAGCTGTCTCCCAAAAACAAGAACAACCCTTCATTTGGGAGCTATCCTTCTGAGATATGGAAGGAGGCAGGTGGTAATTTCCAGCCTTGAAGGTCTGCTCAGCTCCAAGGCAAACTAGTGAAAACATGTTTTGTTTTTTGTTTTTTGTTTTTTTGTTTTTTCCCCTGAAGATTTTTCCTCTTTCTCAATTCTTTGAGGACTGTAACTTGACATGAAACTACTGCACAACAAGGACTCTGTGTCCTATGAGGGACCCAAAAACAACAATTCACAAGGCAGATGGCTGGCCAAGATTCACTCAACCTCTACGGGATAAGTTCACTTCATGGATGACTGCAGGAATGTTCCATTCCAGATTTTAAAAGCAATTAAAAATTGGTTTTGGGCTGGGGATTTAGCTCAGTGGTTCCACCGTCTGCCTCGCAAGCACAAGGACCCAAGTTCGATCCCTGGTACCCCCCCCAAAAAAAAAAATTGGTTTTGCTCCAATTCCAGAGAAAATGCCAATGTATTTCTGGGCTCCAAGCTAAAAAGAAAGCTGTTTCTTAAATGTCTGCTTTTTGAAAGCTGTTTTCCACAATGGGTACATTACATCTTAGTCCTTTAATCTTTTTCTTCCCGTCTCAGGTCCTTGTAGGTCTTGTTTTTAAAATGATGCAACATTATCTGTAAGCTTAGTTGCCTTTTGCACCTGTCAACAGTGACCTCAGAAATTTGTAACACATGGTTTAAACAAAAATCAGTTTTCTTGACTCTTCATTGTATAGTTTACATCTACTAAATTAATTGCTTTGAATGAAAATTCCATGTGTAAATATATAATAAATTCCCAATTGAAGAGAGACCAAGTATATACTTACAGTAATAATAGCCATGCGTTCTTTCATTATTTTGTTAAGTGTCCATGTAACAATTTTCATCTAGGCTTCAGGTGAACTGATGTAAGAGTGAAACATGTTCAAAGTGACTTCAATATGGGATCAGTAAAAATAACCTAAATTAACCCTAAATTGGATCATGCATATGACCCAAACATCATCTGCTTGAAGGTAGCAGACTGTCCTAGATGGCTCCTGAGACCTTTTCTTGGCCTGTTTTCTAGGTCAAAAAAAATGCTTGACAAAATGGTAAAGTGGGCTGTTTGGCTTTTATTCAAGCAAATGTATCCTTGCAAAATGAAAAAAAGAAGTAACATATCTCTCTCATCGGTCTCTGGTAGCTGTTCTGAATGAGATATTGAAAATGTGGCCAAAACTTCTCAAGACTTCCTCTAGTTCTAAGATCTGATTACTCTCAACATGCCAAATGCACACTTAAGTGTTTGTTCAAGTTTTGAGCATTCGAGAAAAGAACACGGTAGGGACTGGAGTCTTGGTGCCTTGCCTTCCGTGTAGCAGATGCTTTCTACAAGCGCACATGTTACCCTCTCCCATGGGAGACAGAGAGATGCTGCAGCCCTGGTCAGCCAGCAAGCCTCTCATAGTACTCTGCCTTACTCAGTATTTGGACCAGGTTGGATAGAGGTCCTATGGGCTAGTTCCCAAAGATATGAGTAGTGCCCATTCTGAACTGCCCACCCTTTTCATTGCTGAAATCCAGCCAGAAGCAGAAGCACTTAAAAATGCATTGATTTAGGACTATTATCTAGAATATATAAAGAACTCAAAAAAATCAGGACCCCCAAATATAAAGACCCAATTCAAAAATGGGTATTTGAAATGAACAGACATTTCTAAGACAAAGAAGAAGACAAATAAATATATGAAAAAATGTTCGACATCACTTGTCATTCGAGAGATGCAGATGAAGACAATACTGAGATTCCACCTCACCCCAGAAAGAATGGCTGCTATCAAGAAAACAACCAAGCCAGGGATTTAGCACAGTGGTTCCACTGCCTGCCTCGCAAGTGCAAGGTCCCGAGTTCGATCCTCAGTACAAAAAGAAAAAGAAATCAACCAATAACAAATGTTGGCGGGTTGTAAGGAGAAAGGAACCTTTCTCCATTGTTGGTGGGAGTGCAGACTGGTACAACTACTATGGTAGTCAATATGAAGATAACTCGAAGAACTAGGACTAGAGGTTCCATTTGACCCAGCTATTCCCCTGCTGGGTATCTTTCCAAAAGAATTAAAATAATTATGCCACAGTGATATATGCACATCCATGTTTATAGCAGCACAGTTTGTAATAGCTAAAACTTGGAAACAGCCCAATTGCCCATCAGTTGGAGACTGGATAAAGAAAATGTGGTTTTTCTATGAAATGGAGAAGTACTATTCAGCCATAAATAATGAGAAACTAGAGTCATTCATAGGAAATGGATGCATATTGAGGCCATATTCTTCAGTGAAATAAGTAAGACATACATGTGTAAATACTGAATAGTTTTTCTGGTATGAAAAACTGGAAGTGTAAATAAGATCCAAATTGTATAACTGATAATGTGAAATAGGAAGAAAAGGGCTAAAGGTTTAGGGGAAGTGGGAAGGGTAGGAGGAAGGAAATAAGGGAAAATAAAAATATGAGAAAAGGAAAAAAATGGAAACAAAGTCTTTGTAAATAGAGGAGGTTGGGGGGTGAAGAGAGTTCAGGGGTATGGAGAAAAAATGAGAACCAAGATGTGTCATGTAAAGGTACAAGATCCCGATGATGAATGTGTACTTGAAAAGTACCAATAAGGGCCGGGGATTTAGCTCAGGGCCAGGGATTTAGCTCAGGGCTAGGTATTTAGCTCACAAGCACAAGGACCTGAGTTCAATCCCTGGTACCAAAAATTAATTAATTAATTAAAGTACCAATAAACTCAATGAGGAAAAATTCATTGATTTAAGAAATCATAAAATCATCATTGTATATTTACATCTGGAAAAAATATTTTAAACAACTATAATCTAAGGGAATAGAAAAGTGTTTAATTTTTTTTAATTAAGGGCTTTCTTTCATTACTATATTGACTTTTTTCTGCTTGGTTATGAGAGTTTGCTTGGAAAATTGTTAAAATCTTATTGAGAATTAAAAAATACTTGCTTGTTCCTATGTGTTCAATTTACATATCTCCCCTAAGATGCTTTCATAATAACGTTTCTGCAGCTGTGGGCAATAATCATTTCATCAATGATTTGGAAAATCAAGTATATTTTGGGATAACTACTTGAACTGCCCCTCATTTACCAGTGCTGGATGCTTTAGGATTTTTCTACATTTAAACACAAGTCATTCTCTAGAATAACATCAGTACTGAGAATGTATGAATAGCCTGAAAGACCGATATTATAGTCATTTTTTTCTAGCTTTCATTAATGACTTTCCTAAAAGTTTCAAATAGTACCAGAGGCTGATACTTAGATCACAATAATGAACCTAATATGCCAGAACACCAGCATATTACTCCCAGCAGTGACTTATTCCTTGGTGATTCATGAAGACAGATATTAACAGGCCATACTTTTCAGCCTTTAGTGTGTCTCAGTAAAGCAGAAACTACAAGCCTGTTAGTAAATCTGGATCCATATTTGATGCTAAATGTAAGTTGATTTCTTATTGCTATTTGAACAGTTGCTCTTCAATGTAATATGTCCTGCCCCACAACAGGATGCACGAGGCATTGCTCAGATGCCTCCTCCCCGCATGATCTGAGCATCTGCCTTTGACCTGACAGAACAATTCTTCAGAAAAATGCCCAACGACTGCATTTTCAATTATAAATATAGCCTGCTGCTTCCTCGCTTAAAAGACAATTAAACCATATTACTGAGGCCACTCTAACCTATCTGTGATTTCATCATATTACAAGGTAATTTAAGCTACAGAGGTGTTCAAAAGTTAGATCGGAGACTTCCAGAGCCCCCA